CAACCAAAGTAGGGGTCTTTGTCCCTGGGGAGCAGCTTATCTCTGAAGAAGTGTCATTATTTGGGGCTCCAACTTTTGACCTTGTGTCTCCACTTGTTTTAATTTGAATTCCCATCTGAATTTTCATAAACAAAAAATAAAAATAAAGGAAACATTAAGGTTATAACATTATCATCATGATTACTCACTTTTCAAAAAAATGCGAATCTTTGGAAATGGAAGATAAATAAGGCTAGGAACCCCAAAAGATAAAGAAATAAAATAGCATATACTTGTACTAAATACATAGTTAACTTACTGGGATATTTAAAATTTCCTCTTCTTTACTGGTTGATGTAAATGAAGCTGAAGCTGAAGTTGAACCCTCCTCCTCTGATTCCAAACTGTTCCTTGGCGCCTTTGCACCTGCATTGCATTGGAACCCGTTACTCGCCTCAGAATTCAGAAAGGGAAAGAAAGGAGAGAAACGAAGAGAGTAAGTGAAAGAAGGTACCTTTAAGGTGGTGGTGTGGTCTGGAGAGAGAAAGGAGTAGGCTTGAAGCAACTACAACTGCTACAACATGTTGGTGGTTTAAAGGGAACTGGAAATGTGGAAATCAAACAAGTGGAAGACGGCACTTATGCAACCAGAAGGAGTAGTCTGACCACCAGAGTCTCTGTCTGACGCTCTCTTGGAGCTGTTGGAGTTTGAGGAGGTTTTAGCCCCACTACCCCAATACCAATCCCTGCCCATCTTCGCAAGTTAAAACTTCTTTCCTGCTTTTCAAGGAAAACGAGACAAGATGGTCTGAGCCAAAAAGAAAAAAAAAAAAGGTTCCCCAGCAATGGAAAAGAGATCAGGGTGACAATGACCGAAGAAGTAGTAGCTAGGTGTTAGAGCAGAGAGATGGAGAGGGCGAAGGCCAGAGAAAGTATCTTGTTTAGAGGAGGAAAAGCTGAAAACGTTATAGGACGCTGGTGAAGAAGCGAGAAAGCGGATCCATGAAAGCATAAATCAGCCACATTTTGATTTGAGGAATTTAAGTACAACAAAGGTTGGTTTGTGGGTGTAGCCTGTAGCGTATGAGACTAGACCTATTTATTTATTTTATCTCTCTCTCTCTCTCTCTCTCCCTCTCCTTGCTTTGGTTTTTTTATTCGCCTTTACCATACTACTACTGTCTTCTTTTTATCTTATGGTCTTACACTCACTCCCAAGTTTTACCATGGACCATGAATAGAACCAACTCTCTCTGTTATTGGGAATTGGAATTGGTAAAAGAGAAAGATGATAACGATACGACCACGAACCTTTCCTATCTCTGTATCTGAGATGCAGACACAAAAACAATCTCTCACTCTCAAGCTCGATTCACAATGTGATTCCCACACCCTTTGGGTTTTAAATACGAGGTGGTTTATTGGGGATCTGCGATTCGAGCCTGTGAGACAGGTTGTGACGTTTATACTCTCATTTTTCTTATACCCCTGGTACGACCAGGGTTAGACTTAGAGCTACCTCAGTCCATCCCTTGTAACGAATGATCCTGGAATTTGTTAAAACTTATAGTAACCCACAAAAACAAAAAAAAAAAAAAAAGGGAAAAAACCGACCCCTGGAACTTGCATGCTCTTATGGATTCGCTCTTATTCCTTTGCATTTTTGTTACTACTGACGGAGTCTTGGGGAAGTTCAAGAATGGACGCAACCATCTAGCTTGAGGGACATCAAGGTTGGGTTGTTCTCTAGTATGATGATTGTACTGAAAGTTTGAAATAAGAATAAAAGTATATTCAATGCTTTGGGTTGTGCTTTTTTAACGTCTTCTTCCATTTAAATTTCTCCTTTTCTTTATTTTTTTAATAATTTGTCATTTTTCTTGCTTTTAGCTTGTGTCCTTGAAAAACAGCATTCAAGTTTCTACCAATTTGGTTATAATTTTCTTACAGAGCTATAAAGGATTCATTTAGAAATTGGGAACAATCAATATATATATAATTAATAATATATATATATATTTCCCAGTATTATAATTTAGCTGGAAACAAATGGTGAACTTGGAAGGAAAATTACTCCCAAACTATTCATCACGCAACACACAAAAATGTTCAGCTAGCATATGGGCTAATAATCTATTAGCCGTTCTCCTTGTAAAAATGAATGAGCAAGCCTTAGCGTTGTTGTACAAATGCAGGCCTCACGATTATTAATATATCTCAGTGTCTCCCTCAACTATAATACGCATATACCCATATGTGGACCAGCCAATACCAAACCAAAAAAGAATAGCTCCTTCCTCAGCTTGGAGAGGGCCATATATACAGATCTGTGTAGTGGCACCTAACAGAATCTGACCACTATGGACCCTAATCACCGCTCCTAGACCTGCCATCATTTCCTTGGCAAATATGGCATCATATCTACATTGATTTTAACAGCATTCACAGGAAAGGCAGAGCAGATATTAGCTCCAACCTTATCATTTGATGGACAAGCAAACTCATTAAAGATTAATTACAAGTTAATTTACCATGAGAAGCAAGTTCAACTTTTTTTTTTTTGGTAGATATATATGTAGGTACAACGGGAGTCGTTAAGTTTCACTTATTATTTAAATAAATAAATATGATTTAGAGAGGTATTAGCAGAATTTCCCAGAAAAAACTTGTTTTGCATAGATAAAATTCAAACCTTTTTTATTTAATAAAAATACTTAACTTGCAAAATAATAACAAATTATATTAGAAGATATTACAATCATATATATGTTTGTTTCAATCCGTAGTGTTCACAAGGATGGACTTTTCTACAATAAAGGAAAAAAAAATGAAAAAGAGCTGATGGCTGAATCGAAACAACAATTGATATCTCCATTAAGCAAAGAGAAATGTTAATGGAGGGGACCCAAAACCCTAACCCGTGGCATGATGTGCATCATGTGATGAAAGCGCGGTGGACTGGGGGCAGGGGTGGTTCAGGATTTCCGACAAAGGGAGGGCATTAGGACAAATTAACTGTGTCAGGAGCCTCCCTACTGATAATAAAATCCCACTTAGGACTGAGATTGAGCCTTGTTGTTTACATGCACGTCACGCAGCATTCTTCGGACAGACTATGACATCCAAAGCTCGGGGACCACCGCTGGGGTTTCTTGCGTTTCCATTGTCTTTTGTTTTTTTTTTGGACGTGTGTCAAAATTGCTTTCTATTCATGTACCAGCCAACCTCAATTTCAAAGCGTGTCCTTCGAGGACAAAGAGGGATGGAAAAGAGTTTTTTTTTTTTTAATTTGAATACTGGCTGAGGTGGTCCCCATTTTGTGGGCTCAATCGAAGGGCTTACAAATTACAAGTTACAATCCCTATTCCCTACCGTACCATGATTGAGTTCCCTCCTGCACTGCACTCTTGATGGGTCTCAGTAGAGTATTATGGTTCATCTTTCACATTCCCTTCACTGCTTTTCTTCTTTCTTCCCTCCATGATTTTCCCCTACACTTGGAAACAAAACACAGTGACGGACTAAGGTGAAAACAAGAAAAGGAAATGGAAGGACAGTTAATTGCAAGAGAAAAATAAAAAGATGACCAAGAGCCAAAGCAGAAAAATATTTCATCCTTTCTTCCTTTTACTTTTGGGAACAAGAAAAAAAAAAGGGGGAAATCAAAGCACTGCTGTATTTACAGGGCCGCTTCTCGTGGAAGTGCGAGCAAATTCTTCATGGTCCCAGGGAAGAAGCTGCCAAAAGGAAATAAATGGGTAATAAATGGCAAAAAGATAGCCCAGAGGCCTGGTTTGACCCACCACTTGCCTAAAAAATTAACTACACATAGCTGAAGCCCCAACACTGCCGTCCTCCTTCTCTTCTTCTCGAGTCTTTTAATGTATAATGGCACCTTAATAGAGGCTGGCCTCCCGAACCTACCCTCTTCGAAGCAGAGTTCTTACAGGGACAAGACCAGCATTCAAACAGTGGCAAACCTACCACTAAAATCATAGACACGATGAAAAAGAGCCCTTCTCGTGGTTAGTCTGATGCTAAGTCTTTCAAACGAGCTTAAACGTATTTCAGTTTCATAAATACCTTCAACAACCTCATTAGTACGGCTCAGTAGTCTGATCCTAAAAGGTCTATTAGGTGTAAGGTTTGAATAGCAAATCAGAATACCCTGCATCCAAGCTATCAACATTTACACTTGCTGTTTTTCTTTACTGTAACTTTTAAATATTCTGATGTACTTTTATTATCTTCAGTGACTGTTAAGTGCACAATGCGAAGCACCGAGACGCCTGGCCTGGCCGCCTGGGGAGGCACACTCCCTGCCAGGATATAAAGCTATCCAACATATCAGTTAATGTTCACAATACCAAGCCATCCAAGTTAAAATAATCTTCCAGAGCTTACACTGAAGGAGCAGGCATGTGCATTTACTCTTCCAGGCCACATAATTCAAACCTAATGCATTTAACAGATGTCAATTCTCATAAAAGATCACCAGCAAGATTTACAGGAAAAGGAATTTTTCCAGCAAAAATTTCCTAAATTACCGATGAATTGTAGGCATACCAACAGTTTTGTGTTATTGTCAATTGCACACCTTCATACGTTCACTAAGCCAACAACAGGATCGCATGACTTAAGCATTCAAAATTTAAATTTTAAACAGTAGGTGTTTAACAATTCCCAGTCGCGTAGAATTGCCACAAGCAGTAGTGAAATAAGATGCAGACTCAGATACCATCTGCCAACACGAAAAAGATGAATGTGTCAATCAAGGATGATGTGGCACAAACATATGTAATTGCAACCATCTAAAGCAGCTGCGGAAACAACAATGCAGTACTGTGAACATACACCAGTAGGACCAGGTCGTGCCTCGTGCCGTTCAAGAAATAATCCAGTGGATGCCAATCATACAACCTCTAACATAACCGGGGGACTTAACTGTACATTTCCAAGCAATTTATCATTTGGTACTTCGGAAAGAGTTGAGTGAGTTCAAACCACGTGAAACCTAAATGCATAATTAGAGCCATATATAAATGAATTATTGGACTACTGAGAGCAAGGTGTTGAAAATCATGTAAAGGTAAGAACAAGGGAAAGGCCTCAAGGGAGCATTAGCACATTATATGTAAGTGTAAAACTGCTACATCACAGACCCTGTGGTGTTCAAGATCATCCAGAGGATTTACCTTATGCGGGAACACCACAATGGCATAACTTTCAAAACCCAAGTCCTCCATCAATTAGACACGTTCTCATATTCATTTAGGAAGATTCTTTTTCATAAAAATCAGGTTTCAGCTTTTGACACCAAAGAGAGAGAGAGAGAGAGAGAGTTTTCCTTTTTTTTTTTATAGTTTTTTAAAGAGAGTTTCTGAAGACTCCTGGAAATGAATAAGAAAGATAAGCCAAATAGCATCATTCATATGAACGAGCTATATGCGATTGATAGAATGCAAGTAAGGGTAAAGACAACAGAAATAAAGATGATGTGTTAATCAAGTATGATGTGGTACAAACATATGTAATTGAAATCATCTAAAGCAGCGATGGACACAATGATGCAGTACTGTGAACATAGACAGTAGGACCAGGTCATGCTTCATGAAGTTCAACACATAGTCCAGAGGATGCCAATCATACAACCTCTAACCCAACCAGGGCCTTAACTGTACATTTCCAAGCAATTTTATCATTTGGTACTTTGGAAAGAGTCAAGTGAGTTTAAACCACATGAAACCTAAATACATAATTAGAACCATTATAAATGATTTATTGGAATATTGAGAGCAAGGTGTTGAAAACCATATAAAGGTAACAACATGCGAAAGGCCTCAAGGGAGCATCAGCACATTACATATAAGTGTAAAACTGTTGCATCATATGAACGTATAGAAGATGAAGTATTAAATGCCAAAGTGCCTTGAAACAATAATTAATTAATCTGACACAAAAATGCATACTCTAATTGTCCCTTTCTTTCCTGCATTCTCATTACCAAGTATAGGATTATCTCTGCTCACCATAATTAGTCCTAATTAATTCTTCACAAAAGCCAGAGTTACACATTTGCCAATAAGCACAATAACAGTTATCATCTCATAACAGAGAGTTTGCACAAGATTCAGCAAAAGAGGTTTATGCAGATACCATACTAGTGCTATAACTTTGAGCATCTCGCTTCCCCTCCTTTCCAACCTAAACCAAACAGATCCTTAGGTGTTCAAGATCATCCAGAGGATTTACCTTATGCAGGAACACCTCAATGGCATAACTTTCAAAACACAGGCCTTCCATCTATCAGACAAGTCAATACATTCGTTTAGATAAAAACTTTTCCATAAAATTCAGGCTTCAGCTTTTGATACCAGAGAGAGAGAGAGTTTTCCTTTTTTAGAGTTTTTTAAAGAGATAGTTTCTGAATGACTCCTGCTTGAAGACAATACTAATGATATATATCAGTCCTGGAAATTAATAAGAAAGATAGCCAAATGAAATCATTCATATCAACAAGCTATATGCAATTGAAAGAATACAAGGGTGAAAACAATGGAAATAAAGGGGGAGAAAGACTGGTGATACCCCATAAAATGTGCAAACACTCATAGTTTGCTCTGATCCTTCAGCAAAGAAAACAGAAGAACTAAATGATGCTTCTAAGTTCTACCATCCACATCAAACCCTGCTCCTGTCCAGCCAGGTGCTGCAGATCCTCTACCCTTGGGCACAGCCCCAATCCCCTTTCCTCTTCCTTGAAACTGGCTTTTCTTCTTTCCTTTTACTTCTCCATCATTTGTGGGCAGTTGATTCTGCCCATTCATAGCTGAAACATTTCCATCATTACGTTGATTCGGTACATTTTCAGAAGCAGTAGAGCCCGATTGTGTTGTTTGAGGAACTGAGGAAGCATCTACAGTTGCAGCACCTTGTGCAGATCCAATTGCTTTCCTGTCCTAAACATGATCCAAGTGCAAGCTTTCAACAATCTATCTACAATTACTTGCATACAGCAGTGCTGATAAAAATTAACAAGTGTGACACTATAAAAAAAAAAATAAAAATGTTGCCAATGAATGCAGCCCTCTAATGAAAGCAGGCACTTTAGTTTGGGTTCTTGAGAATAGCCATTTCCAAAATGACCCCTCCACTTTCCCCCACCTTCATCCTGGCTAACCATGAGCAAACCAGGGAATTTTGATACATGCATGTAGTAAACCAATTTCCATACATCTAAAGTAGTTTATTATATAAGAGTAAACTGAAGTGCAAACTAATACTTCTGATCTCACTTTGTATATTTTTTCCACTTCTACTTTTTATTAGGGATAAGGGGTGGTTTGAATTGATTAATAGGAGCTAAACATTAACAAAGAATCAACAAAGCCAATACTAGGTGGTCAGGAAAGGTTCTGTTGAGTTGGTAGACATGAAGATCATAAATACTTTTCCATTTAATATGCCACCTCCTTTCCAGTTTATAACAAGGGAAATTCACAAAAGAGTAGTGATTGAAAATCACAAGCAGAAGTCACAATAAAAGAGAACCATTTTCATCAGGTGACATGCCTATTCTGCTGACTGTTGTAAAGCATTTATCTTCTCAACATAGAGGACCATATAAGTATTGGATACTACATGAAGAACTAGAAGTCTAATGAACAAAGAAAGCTTACATGATGAGACAACATGGATGCTCTACTTGGGTTCAGAGCTTCCAATCGTCTTTTCAATTCCTCAAGTCGAGCAAACTGGGAGTTACTGCTTTCTTGAACCTATCAAAGAAAAGCATCAAATAGTTAGACAGTGCATTAATGCCCACTTATCCACCTAGGGCAAAGATGTATACCAGATTGTTTAAGTCCTCACATAACTTCTGCTTAATTGCTTCCTCATCATTCAGAGCCTTTACGGCTGCTTCCCATATCTGAAATAAATATCAAAAGCTGCTATCAAATTGAAGATGGGAGACAATATACTTGACAGTAAAATAATTACAAAAAAACTGAAAAATTATTCAACAGCCTCCCTCAAGACCAAAAGATCAGTTTATGCCTTTATTAATCCAAATACAACCTACCATCTTTGTATAAACAAATTCCAGACTCTATCTCAATCTGTAATTCCATGCAGAAACACTAATGAGTTACAGCTGCAAGTTCACTCATTTCAAAATAAAATGGGTTTACATGGGTATACTACCATCTGACCATTTGAATTGGCAACTTTTTCATACCAAAATTTATTATTTGACCTGTCAAAAGTCCCTAGTAAACCTAGTATTGCTGTCTCTTCACAGGCAAAAGTTTCACAAAATAATGAAGAATTGCACTTTGATGAAGGAAAGATGAGATATAATGCCAATGTACATGCTCAATTATACTTGAGAGAGAGAAGAGTGACAAACCTTTCGTGCTTGCTCTTCCTTCTGCTTAGCAATGTGAATTCTCTCAGTTGACATTTCTATTTTCTTTCTCAAATGTTCTAGGGCTGCAGGTATGCACCATACGTTATGCAGCGGAAGAGTCACTCTACTATAGACAATTATACATAAATGAAGAAATATTGCACATAGTGGCAACAACACACTAACCTGCTTTTTTAGGCCCAGCGGTGAGTTTCATCTCCATTGTAAGATTTGATAGTTCTCTTTCAACATCACGTATTTTAGAATAATTTTCTTCTATGTATCTAAAAGCGTGCATCAAAGGAGATTAAATACAATACCCCAGCCAATGGAATCATGAGAATAAACTCAAAGAACATTAAAAGGAAAAGAAACCATAACTTTATAAGGCATCCTCTTTCAACATTAGCACACAAGTAAATTCTACAGATTGGAAAATTAAAGTCTTAATTGCAAACAAAATTTAAATATTTCAAGAACTAAATTGTCAGGAAAAAAAAAACTACTTTCTTATGCTTGATTAATTGAGTTGTAAACAAAGATTGTCAAATTGATGTTTTTCAATATGAATTAGTAAAAGCGACTTATTGGGGAAAAAAATGCTGGAGTTCATAACAAAGCTTAAATGGAATCTGTTTCAGATTTGAATAATATGAACTTAATTACAGCAACAAACAACCAACCAATTGAAATTTAGGATTCAATTATCGTTTAAGTAGTATCAAACTCTCAAGAAAATCTTATGCGCTATCACTAATCACCCATATCTCAAGATCTGAATTACAGTTTAAGGCTTTAAGCTAACTGTTAATAGCTAATAATTTATAGAAAACTCAGATATCTGTATATTCCTCTTCTCTTTTTATACATAACCACACGCAGGATTATAAGAACACTTTCCTTATTATTGAATTAAAATCAATCATTGAACATATTTATCCGATATAGGCCAGTTTAACTCAGGCAAGTGAAATTTCAGATAAAATATATAATGAAATAATTGCACATATCTCAAAATAGATTATAAGTGACAATATGAACATACTTCTTGAGTTGAAGCTGCTCTTCCTCGATTATCTGCCGCCACAGCCAAAAACAGAACCCAAAAAAAGAGAAAAACCAGATTCGCTATCACATTTCCACCATAGCATTATAAGAAGCACAGGTAGAGAAGAGAAGAAAGAGAAGTCACCTTCTCAGTGTAGGCGATGACAGGAGCTTCCCTAGCGAGTCCATCGGGTCCGATCTCGGGCTTCAGGGCAGGATTCGAAGCCATTTTCCTTATTTCTTTCCTTCTCGTTTTGTTATTGAAATCGAAACTAGAAATAAAAATCGAAAACTGTTTTCTGATCTGATTTGAGAAAAAGGAAGTCGATTCGTCTCAATACCAGAAGCATTGCATTGTTGCAATTTCTTTGTTTTCGCTTTCTTCGATTGACAGAGAAAGGGCAAAACAACAAACACGTGAGGGTTTATCTTTATCCTCGTTTCCGATCGTGAGGGATACGTGCGTTTTTTCCTTGTAAAAAAGCATGTCGAGTCGTGCTGAGGAGGCCGGCGTACCGGTTCAGTAGTCCGGTTCAACAAAGCGCGCATCCTCCGGTGATGCGGAAATCATTTTTCAATGCCTCGATAAAATTGGCCCCTTGGATTTTGCGAATGGGCACATGCTGAGCACGTGTTAAGGCTATTCCCGGGGCTCCAAGATCAAAAATCCTCCTTCCAATCTTGATATGGGTAAGAAACGGAATTGCATTCTATCTTCCCACATTAGTACAATGCTTGCGAGGCATTTTGCAATACCCTTTTGGGTAGAATGAGCCGACTGGAATATGAAACACAACAAATAATGCATACTATGAATAGGTTGATGGAGGTGTGGACCAATTAGTACCACTACTCTTATTCTATTTAAGAGATCACAAACCATAGTTTTCTTGATTATAATACGTTTAGAGAGAAAAGAAAACTAAAATATGAAAAGCCATCTTTTTCAATAGCTAATCATTTCATCTAAACATTTCTTACATCCTTTGCCAAACGCAAATGTTGATTAACAACGCAACTTCGTATACATCAGCAACATGGAAGGGTATAAATAAGGGAGAGTAAGACAATAGGAAAACAGGATGGACTAATGTGATGGGAGAGAGAAACATTAGATGCATAAAGAGAAGCGAAGGTATGGCTTGGCTGCTGGGATAAAGTTTAAAAATTCAAATTCAAGCGGCTACAGAAGTGAATTTTGAAGAACATGTTTATGGCCTAAGGGCCAATGTCATAGAATAACCAGCGCTTTACAAGCTTTAGGCAAACATAGAGGAACCTATTGTCATCAACCTGGCCAGGTTAAACACTAGTTTAGTTTCTGTTTCATAGATTAAACAAGCACAACATTCGCCAAAGTGAGGAGAAAAGATTGCAACTTCAGCATGGAATCTAAAACCGAGTGAGCTGAATATGTCGATTAGGATCAGTTTTGGTTTAAATCATGAAGCAGCAACTGCGTTTAAGACTTGGAGAACGGCTTCTTTTGTGGGTAGTGCGGAAATTGCACCTCTTCGTGTTACTGTCAGGGCTCCACAACCATTCGCGAAAAGTGAAGCTTCTCGTCCTGTCACAGGGATGACTTCATGTATAAATTCCCACAGGAATCTGAGGGCTTGGAGTATACATGCCATAACCTATTTACTCCGTTTGTTTATTTTTAAGTTGCTACCACTCAAGATGAAGGAAAATTTCTTCAGGATCAAATGCAGGGTAGCAATTACCTTGAACACTAGCTAGATTTAGGTGAAAGGCAAAACAAAGCATTGGATTCTAAAACTCAAGTCCTTTATAATTACATTGATTTCGATAGCTAAGATGTTAATTAATTATATACAGATACTGCAAAATTTATAATGAAGCTTTAAGAAAGAAAATGAAGTAAAAGATCTGTCTCAATTTACGAAACAGCTAAAGGTATCTCAATTAGCTTTATGTCAGAAGCTAAGCCGGTCAGCATCCCACTGACAAATGCATCACCAGCACCAGTTGTGTCGACGGGTTTAACTTTAATGCCAGGAGCCCTGCCCTTGGATGTCTGTACAAGATGCAGCTGAATGTCAGCTTGTTCATGAAAACAGCATCATATACGTCACTTATGTAGCATGCAGATATTTCTACTACAAAGAACTATCAGTCAATCAAGTTATGCACTAGGTTAAGGTAGAAAATCAGTTCATAAAGAGCAAATTAGGATAGTAGAATATTTTTAAGATCAATATTGAATTTTGTTATTGTACTTTAATTTTATTGAATTTTGCCATTAAATTTTCAATTTTTTTAATTTTTTAACCAAAAATAGTAAAATTAATGAAAATTTGTCACTTTCATTAGCAGAATATTTCATAAAATATTTCCATTCCATTACTTTTATTGTAATAATCAATGAAATTTAAAATATAATAACAAAAAATTCAATTAAATTGAAAGACAATGACAAAATTTACTAGTAAAGCCATAGTACAGTAACAGTTTCACCTCAATTCCAAGCAAAAAAAGAAGAATAGAAGATGTTATATTAGTGTAACATCTACAACTACAACCCGTTGATCCTTCAGCTCCAACCAAAAGCTTAAGATTAGGATGGAAAAGCTTCTTCGTCACCACATTATCATCACAAGGGTCATCATCTTCAATTAAGAATGTAAGTCCATCCTTGCTTATCTACAATTTCATATAACAGAAACAAATGAGTGTTATACAAATATACTATGATTGAATTCCTTTCCATGGTAGTACATAAAAATGAGCTATATATATTATTTACATTTACGTTATAGCCTGCCAGTTCATGTATGAATCTCATGGATCGTACCTTAATAACAGCTGCTTCATCCCATATGCTCATTATTCCCTGCCAAGCAGCCTCTGCCGATGCCCATAATGGCAACCTCAAATTTGGATCATAGGATAGGATGCTACCAGACTGGCAATGTTCATTGCAGCAAGGTGAGCTCACCTGCATCGTTCCTAGATCAAACTAACAGAACCATAATGAAATATCCCTGCCTGCAAGAATTTGGAAATAAAATATTTTCAGGCGGAGTACTATCCTAAATTCAACAGATATTTCATAACATTTCCTAAGAGAGAGACCTGCTTAATTAGGTTTATAGTGAGTTCTGATTCGCGAAGATGCATATCAGCACTTGGATTACAATTAAAAAAAAATTCCCTTTCACCATCAGCTCTGAGTGTAACAAATGACAATGCAGTTCTTGCACTAAGGTCAAAACGCATTCCAGCATTGTTGACATTGTTCTGCCTGGGAATGTCAGCTAAGATGTGGCAAAATTCTTCATCACCAACCTGATGGTATAAAATTGCAAAGCATTTGGAACAGGAAGCACATCTAAGCCGAAGTATAAAAGCAGTAAGAAGTCACTGAAATAAGAAATAAAAGTCGCTTTTGAACACCCCTCATCCCCAGAGAGAGAAAAAAAAAAGCGGGGGATTGAGGTTTTGCAATAGAACTGAGAGCAATAGTGCCCTATTTAAATTCTGCGAAAGCATCGCTTGTATTGTATTTCTGTGCGTGGAGTTATCTCTATTTTCATGAAATACGAGGTTAAAATATCCATAAATTTGGAAGAACAAGAGATGTTTTGTTTATATATCTACTACCAAACGGCAAAGAGCAACTACGTAATACCTTTGTTGAAAATTTTGTTTCAAACACAGAGGTCGAAGTATTTCATTATTTCCCATAATTGACAAACATTCAGCTAATATTTGCTGTCCTTATCTGGGGATATTTGGTAGGAGGTCGAGTTGAGAGTCAAAAGATAAAGAGGAGTTCTTTTACTTAAACCGAAATCCCAACAGGAAACCCAGAAAGGTTTTTCTTACAAATTTCCACCTTCAGGATATTCAAAGCAAAAGGAAATGAAGACAATATGGTGCTATTCGGGGTTAGATGTTTGAATTTATCTTGCCTATGAAAGGTGATGAACAACCCAATCTGGATATGGCTGTTAGCACCACCAGGGGACATCCTGAAAGCAGGTGCTTCAGCCAGAGAAAACCCTCCAACGGTTGGTACAAAGTCCATCAATATTTCACCAAAGCAAACAACTGGTGAATTGTTGGGTAGTTTTCCTTTTGTATTGGCACGGATATCTTTAGCACCTCCTGCTCATGCAGTACTCGATATCATGTTTAGTAATTTTTTTTCACTTATAGTAAAAAAGATTAAAAAGAAAAAGAAAAGAAAAGGGAAGCATAGGAGTTAAAATAGATAGAACAGTGTATCTTTTAAAAAAAAAAAAAGTAGATAGAACAGTGAAAAAAATGAACAAGGATTGACTAGTCTTTGACCTGCCAAATTCTGCTTGACAGGAAAGATCAATTAGTAGATGAAAAGAGATTTTTTTTTACCCATTTTTTGACCTGCCAAAGGCTTGTTGCAGCTCTTTTTTGCTATTGTACAGGGCCAAAGCCCTCTCCAAAGCTTGCTGTCTATGCCAAGAGGAGTTTTCCACTAGTTTGGTGGTAGACTTGTTATGGCATTCAAGCTTTTGGTTTAATAAAATTCATTTTTTAAAAACAAAAAAAAAAAAACAAGGATCAACTAGTGTTTGACCTATATCAAATCTAGAAAATTGATAAAAACGATAAGCACTAGCAGTAACTCAAGTTCAGCGAGCTTGAGTCTTTCGTAATGCATATAAGTCTAGCGAGGAAATGAAAAGAAAGACTGTCCATACCTTGCTTGCATAGAATAAATAGATCTAAACTTGATCTAAAGCATTAGCCACCCAAACCCACGCATTTCGAACAGAAAATTTGGAAGAAATCATCCTCCACGTCAAACCCTTGTTTCAGAGCTTCATGAAGATTCAATTTTCTATTCTGGAGTCCAGCAAAAATGGTCTGATTGACATGAATTTGGACAGGGGTAAAGCAATATCTGAGATTTTGATAATTATCTCTAACAATTGAATCAGTTGCATAGAAAGGGTCAACATATCTGTGAACCGTATTTTCACTAGGCACCTCGATCCAGGGGATGCTTTTTTATTGAAAAAGAGAGTAAGGTTTTGATTTGTTTGAGAGTAGTGCAAGAAAGGGTGCTCTAGTGTCACGTTGACAAAATTATTGGGACAAGTATCTTCCCTGACCCAATCCTGGAATGAATTAGATGCATAAAGTGGGATCGAAGAAGAAATTCCGTCAGCTGACAACCCATCCTTTGTACCTCGATCTCTGAGATCGACACCAAAGATCGGTTCGCACAATAGTCATCCCATGAACGGATTGGTTTGTGTGCAAGGCACGGAATTCATGTCCGGTAATGTGAATGACTGGCTGTGGATCCTCCCATTTAATCAGCCCAAAACCGTCATGGCGACAGTGTTGAGGATGATCATCCGTCCAAAAGGGATAGGACAGGTTTTTCAGGTCTCCACAGGTAAAGGGATGAAAACAATCCATTAAACTTTCATGGTCGTTGCTGTATGATGTTGGGAGGAGGATTAAGATGAAGAAGATGGCCAACATGGAGTTCAACGAAGGTGAAAAAATCAGTTGGGAACACATATTCTGAAAGTTTGGGGAGAAGAGATACATGCAGTTAGGGGAAGTGGGTTATACAATGATGGTAAGCCTTTTATTGGATGAATGAAGATGCATTAATCCAAAAGAATATTAGTAATAGAAAACAACTAAAACACACTTCGACGGAAAAAACAGAAGTTTCCCAGCAGGACAACGAGTACTTTGCCATGTCTTAAACAACAAAAACACAGAACAACTATCAAAATTGTGGATTCGACCGTTCTACATAGTATAGAAGCAAAAGAAATTAGACCTTGCTATAATGACAGACACTGTCATTGCTAACGACAGCTTTAAGTTTAGTCACTATGCTATTTGAAGAGACCCGGCACTAGCCTTCCCAATAGCATTTTCTTCTTTCTCTCTTAGTTCCACTCTACTAGTTTATAAGAAAGATCAAGTATCATCATCTTCCTCTTTCATCTGGGTGTGTTTTTTACCATTTTATTTTTTTAAACTCAACTGGCATTTATCTCTTTTTTCCCTTTCCCTGTCATCATCACCTATCTCTCTTTTTCTCATTATCATCAGCGTCAAACTCCACAATTTATCGGTTAAAACTTGCAAATTCAAGTATGACATCTTCAAGAATACTGAAATTTGAAGAAACCCAACTTGAGATTTTCGATCTTTGTGCAATAATAGAGCATGAAAAGTTTAAAATCATGTTGTTAAAGTCTCTGTTGGACAAAAAATAGATGGACATCATTGTGCCTAAAAGCTTAGATGATAAAGAGTAACAATTAAATTATGAAATAAACTGAGGGAGCGAGAGAGCAATAGCTATCAACCCTTGTTCCATCTTCTGTTATATTGTTACAAATATAGAAAGGGAAAATTTTCAACCATTTATGAAAAGAACAGACCTAGCTGAACAGAGCCGTTGGCCGGTGGTGAGGTGCGGCAGCACGGCCGAGCCATAAGAACTGAAGCGACATAACATCAGATTGGGTATTAAACTATTAATATATTTGTTTAAGACAAAAAAAATTAGGCAGGCTCGTAATGGAAAATAATTGCCGTAAATTCCTGAGCTGCGATATCCAAATAGAACTATGGGTGTGGAAATTTACCATCTCATAAACTTCATTTTTTTCCTCAATAATTGAATATAAGATGTTCAAATTGAAAGGGATGTTTTATTTATTTATTTATTATCAAAGTGATCTTTATAATAAGTTCATTTTAATTCATTAAAATCAAACTTCTATTTATTTATTTATCATTTGAGCTCAGCCCAGGTTGCTCAAATAATCCGTTGAGTGTGTGCTTTTCTGATGCAAGATAGCCTGCCAATCAGTAGGAGCTATATCAACTCCACCCTGCAACCCAACATCTGCACATCAAGCTTGGTTTGTTCCTAATCCTATTAGTGAAACTGAATTCAATCTCCTGCAACATGAAATGAGATCCTTAGCTTGGAATAGCCAGAATAAGCAAACAGGGTATTATCAGACCTTGCATTGTTAACATGACCGTATTCTTTAGCAGTGCGTTGCTGATTGCTGAAGAAAAGATGAAATAGCAATGATACATTCCAAGTTTAAGCTAACTTCACAATATGCCCATTAGCTTTCCAACGACAATTAAAGCCCGAATAAAGGTTGACTTGTGTATTCCACTTTAAAACAGACGCAGAGTTCAGGTCATTTTCAATGTATCTTCCACAACTACATAAGGTCTAGTCCAGTGTTGTGATGAAGGAAGTTTTGCCTGTTATTGAGATCAAAATTGGATCACTTGTTTTATTTGTAAGATTTGAGTACAAAAATAGCTCAAACAGAGTAAGCAAAGCTTGTGGCTCAAAGATCTTTATTGTTCTATGGGGAGCAACTAATGCTCACTTCAGCATGGAAACTAAAACTACAACATCTTAATACAACAAAATATATCAATTACTATTAGGATCTCTTTCTCATTTCTATGATGCAGCAAATTTGGTTAAAGCATCAATAACAGCCTTTTTCATGGGCATCGCAGGAATTGCACCTCTCTGTGTTACTGTCAGGGCTCCACAGGCATTTGCAAAATTTAAGGCTTCTCTTAATCGCTCCTCATCCTGTCATAAACATAAATTCATATAAATGTTTGTGAGGAAACTATGGTATTAATAAAGTATAGTCATAATATATCTTCAAATTTTTTAGGTTAGTTGCTGCAATACATAAAAATGTTTTGCAGATGAAGTATAAGTTCTTCAGGATCTAATGCAAAAATTGCCTTAACTACTAGATTTAGGTGAATATCACTGGTAAGTATTGGTCTGTGAACCTCAAATACAAAACACGCTCTCTACTTCCCCTTTAAAGATCATTTAAATTGCACTAATACGGTTCCAGGGGTAAAAGTCTTTAATCATAAGATTCTTCTGAGATCCATTTAAATTACTAGAAGTGGAATTTATAAATAACCATTAGGAAAGAAGAACAGTACATGATCCGTTTTAACTTATGCGAGAACTATATGTACCTCAAATAGCTTTAAATCAGAAGCTAGGCTGCTCAGTAAGCCACTGACAAATGCATCACCAGCACCCGTAGTGTCAACTGGTTTAACTTTAATACCAGGAACCCTGCCCTTGAATACCTGCAGAGAATAAAAGTTCATCCAAATTTCTTTATGCAAATTATATTAGTTATGTGCTTGTACTGACTAATGACCATGATGAATCTCCACCATTCAGTAATTTGCATCACATAGAACTCAGATAATTTCCAGTTGAGGGCATTCACTCTGTAAAGGTTTTTATTTGCAAAAATCAATTGTACTGATGAAAGGAAAGGAATTACAATTTTTATTCATTTTACAGCTCCACAAAAAAGTGCATCAGATGTTTTGAATAGAAAGTCTTGGCATAACATATTAGGATTGTGAGAATTATAAGTGAGTGAAATTCATAGTATCAAATAAACATTTTTTGTAAAGAAAAGAATATAGACAATCTTACCTTGGTGTAATATCTACAACCCTCTGACCCCTCAGTTACAACCAAAAGCTTAAGATTAGGATGAAAAAGCTTCTTCATCACCACATTATCATCATAAGGGTCATCACCTCCAGTTAAGAATTTAATTTCATCCTCACTTACCTGCATTTTCATAGTGTTAGCTGCAAATGAATGCACTAGCAAACAATTTTGTGTATAAGTCTGATAATCACAAATCCATACCTTAATAAGGTCTGCTTGATCCCATATACTCATTATGCCTGTCCGAGCAGCCTCTGATGATGGCCACAATGGCAATCTTAAATTTGGATCATAAGAGAGGATGCTGCCAGCCCTCTTGGCAATGTTCATTGCTGCAAGGTGAGCTGATTTGCATGGTTCCTCAATCAGACTAATAGAACCATAATGAAAGATCTTTGCCTGCACCAATATTATTTGAAGATCAGAAAATTCCAAATCCCGCCAAAACCAACCAGTTTTTCACATCTACTAATTGAGACAAAGATGAGAAAGGCCAAGAGAAAAACCTGCTTAATGAGGTTTATATCAAGTTCTGACTCGTGAAGACGCATATCAGCACTTGGATGACGGAAAAACAAGAATTCACGTTCACCATCAGCTTTGAGTGTAACAAATGCCAGTGCAGTTCTTGCACTATGGTCAAATCGCATGCCAGAATTGTCGACATTATTTTGTTTTAAAATGTCAGCTAACATGTGGCCAAATTCATCATCACCAACCTGATATGAAATTGTCAAGTATTTGAAAATGGAAGTGTGTATAAGTAAAAGCAAGGACTCATTAAAATCAATAATGTCATGATCCGAAGAAAAGCAGGGGATCACAATTTTGCAACAAAAAGCAAGAAGTACTGGGGCTACAAAATGTCATTTGGAAGAAAGCATTGCTTCAATCACATTTCTTTACATGAATTTTATTTCAGAACAACTTAGTTTTGAAAATGGACAAGGTTTAAAAGCAGACAACTTTGGCTGAAAAAGAGATTTCTTATCATATCATAACATGGCTTTTGGATGTTTGTTTCACAGACAAACATTGAAATAATTCCTTTTCATTATTGACGAACATTATATTTTTGCTGCACTGAATTTGAGGATTTTGGAAGATGAGTCAGCAGGTAAAAAGTGGTTTTTTTTTTTCTTTTTTACACCAAAATAAGTGACAGAGAAAGCTCATAACATAAGCAAACTTTCATCTTCATGGTAATCAAAACAGAGATAAACAACAAAATCATGGAATCATTCAAGTGATTGGTACAGACTAAAGGTAGATGTTTGAATTTACCTTGCCTATGAAAGCTGATGATCCTCCTAATCTAGCTACACCAACGGCCACATTAGCTGGAGCACCACCAGGAGCCTTCTTGAAAGCAGGTGCTTCAGCCAGAGATACCCCCCCAACAGTTGGTACAAAGTCAATCAACAATTCACCAAAGCAGACAACTATTGAATTGTTATCTGCAGACTTCCCATTTGCATTAGCAGGAAGATCTTCAGCTCTGCCTACAATAAGCAGTTGCTCAATATTACAAATGTTTCCAAACATTGTTCAAGCTGAAAAAATTAAGAGAATTTTCGCTACTAATATGCCACTACTAGTCCTAGGCCAATCTGTTCACTTGAAAACATTAGGCTAGCCTATCCATTTTGAATTACAAATGTAAAGTAATGATCTTTCTAAACAAATAAGAAATGCTTTGGGATGAAGAACATATCCATAATGATCTTTCTGAACAGTTAAGAAATGCCATTGGGAATAACAAGAACAAATCCAAGTCATCATCTTTATTGAAGAGGAATAATTTGTTCTGTAAGATCTTGCAGACACTTTTCAAGCAGCCAAATTCACTCCATTCAGATCCACGACACAGTTAGTATGCCATACAAAGCATGAGAAACAAAATTTTCGACAAAATCAGATCAGGTGAATCTTATAATTGACAGAAACCCAATATCTAAGCAAGAAATTTCAGATTACTCGTTAAAGATGTGTTCTATTAAATACCACATAATACTTGATAAGAAAGAAAGAAGAAACATTTGAAACATGAAAGAAAATATCTATCCTTGGAAATACTGCGGACAGCAACAAAACAAACAATCACAAGAGAAAGAAACCCACTATTAAAGAAAACTGAAAACCCAGAGAGAAAGAATCTTAAGTGCATAAGACCAACTGAAAACCCAGATTAAAAAATGGCATAACATTCTGTAAAAATAAATCAAATTATGTTCAAAGATGAATGCTTTTCAATCAAGAAAATGAGACGAACCTGTAGTTAAATTCCCAGCCATTTCAGAAACTTATTGAGATTGAATTTAGAAAGAGCAAAGCAATGGTCACAAGAACCGGTGTTTTAGTTGAAGAGAAGAAGAAGAAAGAAAGAAGAGTCGATAGAGGAGGACGGTTGCCAATCTTGAAGGAAAAGTTGACAAGAGTAAACAAATTTATTGAGCTCCCAAGTCCCAATCCCATGAAGTAAAATAAAATGACAAATATATAATTTCTTCTCTATTTCCTTGTTTAATTTATTCTACTCTGTAAATTTGTCTCTTTAATTTATTTATTTATTTTCGTGAAGGGATCAAGTAATTAATTCAAGCACCTTTTTGAAGAAACGCTCTTTATGTTTAGCTACTTTTAAATTACTTATACAAAATCATAATCATTACATAATGTATAAGGTGTGAGAGAAATTCAAGGTGAAGTGATTTTTTTTTATGTATTTAACATAAATATAATTTTAAAATTATTCGAGTTTAATAAACACTTATGTATTTTAAGAAGGATCAGACTCTCGGTGTTTATGAGAACTATTTCCTTTAAAAGAAAATTTAATTGTAATAGATAGAGCTACATGTTTTTATTCTATATTTGTTAAATAAATGATTTATTAATTTAGGGGTGGACTTAGAACAAAGGTTTCACTTATCTTTTTTTTTATATCATATTTGCTAATAAAATAAGTCACTTGTTCCTTTTTTTTTTCTTTCAAATTAAAACCACTAAGTTAGCAAAGAGTTCCTATTTAAAATTGTTACTCAATCAATGATTTTAATTTTTAAATGCATCATTGATTGTTCTTGAAAATGGACGCAAGGGAGTTTTTTTTCTTTTTTTTCTTGAAGACCAACATGTTGCCCTGCTGCGACAACGTTACAAAAAACATAAAACAAGGTTTGTCAGTTGTTGGGTGTCCCACAATTTCAAGCGAAAGTAACCCAAGTACACAATTGAACGTGAGTTTTTTTTTTGGGGGTTAATGATTGAACATGAATTAAATTTATTGCAACAACAGCTTACAAGTACTGTTCAAAAGATCGAAAACCTTAACAATAATAAAATCATCCCAAAAGTGCCATGCAAGATCTAGGGCACATCTAATACGTGTCTGAATCTTTGGTGTTTCGTTTATATTTATATATATTAATTAAAATGAAAATCCTTTATTACAGAGAAATAGAATATTTCAATTGATTTGACCTATTCAATTCATGCGGCTGCCGAACTGCCTTCTTTACAAGGTTTTTGCAAATTGCGAGCTGCTGGTTTTGTGAACAAGGATGCGGCTGTCATCGAGCACAGATTTTGAACCGGCTAAGCGAGATTTAAAATGAAAGACACAGAAAATATTTCTGTCTTTTGACCAAATCAAAATGGAAGAAAATTCTATAAAGTGAAATATCAAATAAAAGATATAGAAAACAAAAGGTTTCTGTAAAGTGAGATTTAAAATATTATATTAAATCTATTTCTTTTAAATTTGGATTCCTAAGGTCACACCAACTAATTTTCTGCTTAATTATTGCTCAAATTCGCTAACACCACATAGAGGAACAATTTTATGTACGAGGATTTAATTTGTATGAATTTACAGATATTCTTTTTGTTTTAAATTAAATGTTCATTTAAGATATTTAAATGAGAATAATGTTTTGTTTTCAAAAAGAATTGGAAATAATTTAAATCTTTATTTTATGAAGTACAAGAATATATACGTTGCACTGGTGAAAAAATGGAAGAATTGTTTCTCTCAAAACAATAAATTAAAGTAAATAAACCATTTAAAACGGTTGAATTAATTATTATTCTTGCAGTAGACATGGCCCACAGCAATAATCAACTATTTTGAAGAGAACTGCTTTTCTTCCTCTTCTAGAATTTTCACACGATGGCGAAGAACCGTTGAGCTGTCCAACAGTTTCAGATTCTATATATCTGGAATCTCATTTGGTTATGCCTTTTCTAGTTCGGTGCAAAGACAGGAAAAAAGTTGGGACCAATTTTTTATTATCTGGCTGAAGTAAATGCTTAATATTTATAAAGAGAGATCTGTTTACATCTTTATATAAATAAATATATATAACTTATATTTAATTAATCAAATTGTTAGAATTTATGTTTTATTCACGCAAACCATACATGTCAAATTTCAAATTAATTAAAAATATTTAATTATTTATTTAATATAATAAAATTTAAACTATTAAATATATTTAAAAAATAATACTTTTTATCAACACAGTAAGTATGTCAAACTGATTTCAAATTTTAGGTGTGTGATAAGTATGCTAATGATTTGCTTATTAAAATATTAATCATAAAATAAAATAATAAAAGAGTGTGAAAATAATTAATGTTGCAAGGATGCAACTTGATCTCTATTTTATATATATACAAACATACCATGGGATAGATTGATATTATTAATTATTGTAGAATAGTTAGGTAAGCATATTTATGGAAACTTTGCATGTCGCAGCCCAACGAAAATGACGCATACCCACATCGCATACGAGGTCTCGTGGCATCTTTAATTCCTAAATCCTAACCTACGTAGTACACGCAGTGGCATCGTGTTTTTGATTCCTAAACGTTGGCAAATAATTCATTCGCTGCTGTTTCAAGAACATATGAAAAGACAATTTTCATGAAAGAGGGATTGGTTTAATTGGTAAAGTCGATCGCTTTGATAATAATAAATCTTAAATACACGAGTATCCAAAAGAGAAGAGAAGAGAAGTAGGAAGTACATCAGCCAAAAGAGTAGCATACTCGGAGGAAGGGAGTATTGAGCCAAAGAAAAAAAAGGAGGAGGGAGTTGATCCCAGTTTGAAGGACACAATACACATCAAAGCAACCTACTTTGTTACATTGTCTCACCTTAATTTATCCCTTGAAAACGGGGATTAGGATGATAAAATTGTTAAGAACTATTTACCCATGACAATGGGATCAACCTTATGTGTAATATTGCAACCTTATGTCTAAATTGTTAATAATACTGTAACTTTTCAGAAAAAAAATTATCTCTAAAAGTACAATGTAACGTTGATTATGAACTGACTTATCACATGTCAATCCTGATTTACACATCCAACAAGATGCATCTAATAATGTTTTAAATATATATGATTTTGGTTAAGTGCTTAATTACCATAAAAAATATTAAAAAATAAATCAACTTATATTGTTTGATCGATGGGTTATTGTGATAGGGAGAGAGTAAGGGTTGCAAATAAGCAAAGGGTGTACTGAAGATAATGGAGAGAAAAATTGGAGTAATTTTTGAAATATTGAGTGTTATGACATGAAAGAAAATAAGTGAATAACAGAGTAATAGTTGAGAATAGGTAAAAAACAAGCTAGCGATGGTATTACTAAAGCAGTACAGTAAAACTAAGAATAAGTAAAGAATAAGGGAGCATAGAGTAAAGTTGAGAATAGGTAGAGAATAATCCAGCATAGAGTAAGACTAAAAATGGGATGAAGAAAGACTAAATAGAAGAGAATCAGAGAGAGAAACCAAGAGTGAAAATATATTTGCTTTAGCTTTAAAAATCTTCTTAAAATAAATTATGAAGTCGTTATAAATAGAGTCAAAGACAACAGTTATTTAATAATAGATTTTATGATACGTTTAGTTTGCGAAATAGAATGAAATGGAATAAAATAGGTATTATGTGAAAAGAGAGTAGAGGATGAATAGAATAAAAATATTATTATGTAGTTTAGTTGACAAAAGAAAATAATGTAAAAATTGTTATTATGATTTATTGAAATGTTTGATTGGTAAAAGTAATTTTGAAATAACAAAGGAATAGAGAATAAGAAGATAAAAATATTTTTAATTATAATATATGATTATTTATTTTTATTTTATTTTTTAAATAGTAATAATTTATAATTTATTTAAAATAATAATAATTGATAATTTAAATTTTAATATTTTGTTTAAAATTTAATAATTAATATTTTAAATATTAATATATTATTTATAATTTAAATATTATTATAATTAAAATAGTGTAATAATTTTAATTTATTTTTAAATTTAAAATATTATTTTTTATAATATATAATTAAAAACTTAAACGGTTTATTTTAAATTCTTTTTTTCTTTTTTTTTTTCCATTTTTCTTTCTTCTCCTTTGACCGGCCACTGGGATGTGGCCAGTGTAATAGTATGCCGATTTGGCATTCCTTATGGTTGGACCACTAGGGCACCAAATCGACACTCCCAGTGGTTGGATCTAGCCATGCAGTGCTAGATCCGACCATAGGATCTGATTGGGAAGCGTCAGATCCAGCGTTTCCCAATGCCAAATATTACTGTAGACCCCAGATCTGGCATTTTCTCGGACGGATCTAAACGAAGAGCTTCAGATCCAGCCATAAAATCACTTCCATTATTGCCCTCACTGTCCTTTAGTGGTGGGTGGAAGATTAGAGAGAAAAGAAGAAAGACAAAATCTGTACTGGAGGGAGAGAGAAAAAAAAGAAGAATGCTTTTGTATAAGTAAGGTCGTAATTTTTTAAATTTGTAAAGAATATTTTGATTTTATTATTTTTAACGGTTATTTTTTAATTATGAAATAGCAAATATCATGAAAGTTACTATTAACTATTCTTTAGTTTTAGTGGATTTTGATGAATAAAGATTTCAAAGAAATGGCTATTTCGTGGAATATTTGCAACCAAACAAACAATAAATGTTCTTTAAGAATAGACTAAGGGTAAAATATTTAAATATTTTTTAAATTTTAATTAAAATTATATAAAAATTTATTAATTTTTAAAATAAACACTCTATCTTAAAAATATTTTCATTAAACATATAAATTCTATCATTAGTGAATTGTTAATATTTTTATTATTTTAATAACGTAATAATATTTTTAAGATAATTTTACTGGTTATTAATTTTAAAAATTAGTATTAAATAAATTATAATTTTTATTTTCTTTTAAAAAAATTCTACCACCAGTTATTGTAGATTGGGCTCCCCAGGGGAGTCCCAACCGATCGAGGCTTCCGATGCTCCTTTGGGAGCTTGGATGCTTCTTCAGAGAACTCGATTTGGTGCCCTTTAAGGGAGCATTGGGAAGCCCATTTTAAGGCTCCTTCGAAGAACCCGTTTTGGGGTTCCCTTGGAGAGCTCATTCGAGGCTCTTAAAGGAACACTAGATCTGGTGCTCCTTTAGGAGCCATGGTGCTCTCCAAGGAAGAGCCGGGTAGAGATGGGTGGTCAGTCGGTGCAAAGGGACGACGCAAGCCAGTTTGAGAGGAAGAAAACAATGAAAAAAAAAAATATTTTAGATATTTTATATTTAATATTAATGTTATTTAGATATTTATAACAGAGTATTTATTTTGAAAATTAATAAACTTTTGAATAATTTTGATAAAAACTTAAATCTGTCTGAGTATTTTATCAATAGGCCGAACACGTAGTAATGCATATAATAAGTGACATTAAGAGTTTTAATGTACATAATGAGTAACAATATGAAACTCATTATATGAATATTATAGTAGTGGTTTTATTGTATATAATGAGTAATAATTAAAACTCATTATTTGACCATTAAAGTAATGATAATGGGTGTTTTATGATTCTATATATGTAATAAGATATATTCTTGAGTAAAAGTTAAAAAGGGAAAAGTGTATGTGAAAAGGTAAAAGAAACAAGTTAAGAGTAAAAAAGTGTATGTGAAAAAGTACAAAAAAACAAAGTAAAAAATATAAATACTTGTCCTTTAGAAAAAATTTAAGCATATAAAAAAAATTCAAATAAACTTTTATACTTTTATTACGTTCAATTAAAACTTCATACTTTTATTTTGAATCAAATAAATTCTTATATTTTTTATTTTCAGTGAAATAAACTCTTATGATTAATAATTGACTTAGTCAAAATGTCATTTGTTATTATATATTATGTAACACTGATGTGACATACTAAAATATTATAATTGATTATGATATACATACTGACATATCATAATTAATGATAACATGACATACTAATTTACTATGATAGCATGATCATGTAATATTTTTCACTCTTCATAACAATATCATATCTATACTATGTGGATAAAAAATAACAAGTAATATTTTTACTAATAATAATTAATCCATCATTAATCCTAAGAACTTATTTGACCCAAAATAAATACAAGAGCTTGATTAAATATAATTAAAGAATAATAACTTATTTAAATATTTTTAAATATTTTAAGAGCTTATTTGAACATTATACTAAAACTTAAAAAAAAAAAAGACTTCACTATCTCTATATTTAAATTATTAAGTCAAACCATCTAAACATTCAAATGTGAAAATAATTCATAAACCCTACCATTTATTGCGAGTTACTTTTATTACTGTCGTGCAAAGCAATCCTTTCATTTGTTCTAATTGTTTTCATTATTCTCTAAATAACATTACACTTACAATAGACCATTCTAAAAAGTAATAATAATTAATAATTAAAATAAACTATCTGCAATCTACAAATTTTCTATTTAACTCATAATTTAGATTGCATCGAGATCCTTAATTCCATAGTTATTAATTAGGTTTAAATAATTTTTAAGGCTATATAGCATCCTAAAGTAGTAGAAAGATGTAGCAAATATAAACGTCTATCAAATGAAGCTTTTCGAGCGCTCAAATCATCACTGTATAGATTATTGTATTATTAGAAATTAAGATAGAAATCATAATGAAGAATTTCTTGCGCCTGGCACAGGTGGAAGGGATCAAAGCCATCCTGCAGTAGGCTTATTCGCGCCTTTGTCCAACCTAGCTTCACTTGCCCTTTCTTGGGGAATAAACTGATGGTACCTGTTACAGGTGCTGCTATATATCAGAAACTTAATTTGCTGAAAAAAACCAAAAACTCCTAGGATTTTGGCTATACATATACATGATTTGTAACTATGCCAGTGTCTCACTTTTCTATCGTTAATTAAAATAGAACTACAAGTAAAATGATATATGCAAGGAGAGACTAGTAAAAATTTTTGCTTTACAAAATGTCAAAACTAAAAGCCTGTGGCTGAAAATTTGGGAATTTTTTTAATAACATCTGCAACTTCTTGAGTGAAAGAACTTGATATTTGTTTAGTCAAAAATTTTTAAGGAATTAATACAAATTGCAGTAAGATAATTTGGGGAGGCAGTGAAGCAAATCGAAATTGGAAGACCCATGATCACAACCATAAGGAGTTAAACTGATTTTATCGAGACAATGATGCTAAAATTAGTTGGAAGCAGAGCAAAACTTTACCCCTGCGGTAATGAGGGTAGATGTGCATGATTAGCTTGTGAAGGAGGTATATTATCCTCATAACCGGCTTCTATGTTAGGATCTCCCAACCCTTGAGCTGCTTGAAAACTTTGCTCTAACTCTAGCTGAAAATTCCACAGGGAATAAAGGGGTCATTCTAGCACAAATTAGCATTCTACCAATAACAAGTGCGAAGCAGACATGAAGAGGAAGTTCTAAGAGAAAACCTGAGACTTAAGCTGTTTGTTTTCGTCTTCAAGTTCAACTTCCTGATGATTCATACAAAACATCATAAGCACGATGCAATGTTAACCAAAGATGAGTAAGTACCAAATTCTTATTTGCAGTATTGATGTACAAAGCGAGAAGAAAATTGTTGAATTTTGTCATCAACTCAGAAGGGGAGTACATGTACCCCATATAATTATAATTCAGTTTTACTCTATAAAATCCGAAAACCATGCTTATGATCAGATGAGAATTGTACTAACACTAGGTAAAGCCACTAAAACTGAGATCACGCACTCAAAACACAGTTATTTTGCTTAGTGTTTTTACCCTTTTGCGTAACTCTTCCATTCGTTCCAACAACAACTGCACCTGCATTTATAATCAAGGAAATGTTTTATGATATGATAACTGCAAAATGTATGTGCATTTAGCAACTGGCATTCCCATGGTGAGGTAAGTAAAGATAGCTTCATAAATACAGTTTTGTCAGGTTTTTCCTAACTCTAGGATAAATCTTGATTATTTCATGATCATGAGAGTGAGATATGTTACATATGAAAGTGTTTGATGATGATTATTTCCTTGATTTTGAGCGTTATAATCAATGCAATTGCCAATATTTATATCAAATATACATATAAATTTTTACTTTAATGTGTTTTAGAATATTTTAGGATAATTCCTGATATTATTTCATCATGAGAAACACTAAAGGACTGCGAAGAGAGGGATGTCTACCTACCAGTGAAAAACTTTTGCTCCAAATATGTTTTCATTTTTTCTTTTGTTGGGAAAGGCCTCAGAGTTTTATTTCCAGGCTAAGTGAGTACAATCAACCACCCAACATGATCAATCCGACCAGAATCAATCTCAGCCCACAACACCAAGAGCAGAAACAGAACCTAACTCAGAAAACATACACCCAAGACCACATGACACAAGGCATTCCATCCAACACCATGTAAAAAAACACCAGACTAATACAGACCAAAAATTATCCACACACACTAATTAGTTACCATTCAACTGAAAAGTAACAAAAATTGAACATTTTTCTTAGTAGAGTCCGGTTGCCTGTTTAGAGAAACAAGAATTGTACAACCAATTATGTTGACTTTTATGCCTGCAAAAAGATTTTAACTAAGGCTAGAGGTAAAATGAAATCTCATCATCTCAAAAACAACAAACTAACATGCTGCCCAAAAATAGGAAGATGGACACTAAATCACAAATTAATTAACAGCAAGGTTGAATTTAGAATTAACGACCATTACCTTCTTCTGTCTAGCTTGTGTGAGAGCTCTGTCAACCTGTTTCTCAATATTATAGAGCTCTTTCATACTAAGTTCTTCAAGCTCTTCTCCAAGAAGACGCCTTCGCAAAAATGTTATCATCCAACAATCAGTGTGCTTTCAGATAATGAAGGGTATATATATAGAAAGGCTTTCAGTATAAATCACTGCATTATATGGAAGTAAGTCGAATGTAAATTTACCTTTGTGAGAGCTGAAGAGATTCATGTTTTGCCTTTAACCTCAACACCTCTTGGTATAAAGTCTGTATTGGACATCAAAAACAAAAAGATCAGAAAGACTACCTTCTGTTACTATTGTTATCCATGATTCATATGCAACTCCAACTCTACTCCTCAATTATTTGACCTCAAAGATCCAAATTACCGGTCAATTAGGGGAAGTATTATGGAATTATTAGGTTAAGGGACTAATAAATCATTAATTACTTAACTAATTAAAACTTTTTCTTAGTGTCACATAACAAATTAAACTTTATATATTATGGTCTAGGTGTACAGTGTATAATAAATAAGTGTATTTAGTTTTGTTGTTGGCAAAAAAGGGGGCAATTAATGACTCAAGGTACAACAAAAGGAAGCATTGAGGTAAGCTGAGATGGTTTATTTAGTTTAGGTTGTTTTCTATATATATTTTTTATAGTTTAGATGTCTCTTTTCTGTCGGGTGAATATATGAGCAGCGTTTCAGAACAGTTTCCGTTTGTATTTATTTATAGAAAATTCTTAATATATTCTTTTTTTTATCATCTTTTTAGTAATGAAAATGTATATTCGACTTAGAAAAAAAATAAAAAAAAACGGAATCTGCAATGAGAAGGTAATATGAAAACTTTGAAGTATATATGAGATTGAAACGTAAACAAACCTGCGTTTCATCTGCAAAATGGACGTCAGAGGTGTAGCGATGCTGCCAGTATTTTTCCAGGGTCTGAGACACACTGCTAAAGAGAGAGAGAGAGAGAGAGAGAGGAAAATATTATTATTATTATTATTATTATTTTAATAGAAGATTTATTAATGGAAAAAAAAAGGAAGGTTCTATCAAAGCAAAAGCAATTGTACATCCCAAGAACAGAGACAAAGAACCAGAACACAAGAATACAAATCCATAAAGGCAAACACCCCAGCAAAACAAAAAAAATAAAGTCAAAAACAAAACACCGAGGCAAAGGAAGAAACCAAGCAACCGAGACCAGCATGCATGAACAACAAACAGAAGCCTGAAAGGCAAGTCAATCACCATGAGATGGATAAAATCTGTAAGAGATCCTCGGATCTATCAACACCATGAGAGGCAAAAACATTATTGCATATGTGTGTGTGTGTATGCAACAAAAAAGTTGATCAGGTAAGACTATCAAGTTTAATGGTTTAGCAAGTCTGCGAAGTAGGAGTACATTCTAGCATCTAAAACATGTAAACAAGCATCAAGCAAGAAGGGTTTATGCATTTCAGACAATCTTGATTTGCTTCCACACCGTGGGATCTCAAAGAAGAGTTTATGTTATCACAAAAATTGTGGTACAATATTTTTGAGATACCAGATTATTATAGATTCATTAAAACTAATTTTGGGATCTCACCTCTCATCAGCATGACAATTTTATCAGTGATTGACTTCAAATCAGCTGATGCATCTCAACTTTCTTTCATTCTCTTCAGCTTGTTCCGTTACTTGGACCTTGTAGCTACCATTTTGTTTTATTGTGGTGTCCTGTACTGTGTTTTTTTTTTCTCGGTTTGTACTGGGTTATTTAACTCTGACTTTTTTTTTCTAAAAGAACTATTTAACATGCTATAATTCAGTTTCACTACTTTAAAACAATTTTTTTTTTGCTTATTTTCGTCTCAATAAATAGTGTAAAAATATAAGCATCTTAAATTTATTAATCTTTATAAATATATTTTTAAAAATAAAAAATTAATGTGTTTACGTCTAATTTAAAATTTATGCTTCACTTAAATTTTGTTAGGTAAAACCATAAAATTAAGTACTTCAAGTGATAATCACATCGTACCAAATAACACAGAATCAATAAACTTCTCTTTTATGCCGTATAATATTGTTTTTATTAGAATCGTAGAATACCAATGGATGTACTCTCATCAAAAGCTTAGGCCATAAACGTAGCTAAGATTTTAAATAATAGCATCATATTACTCATATACATATATATATATATACCCGGATTGTCATATAAAATCTTACATTAAGACCACAAAGTTTGACATATATATTATGTTTGAAAACCGGCTAAACACTATCTAGGACAGCAATGGTCATCAATATCAAGCAAAATTTCTTTTCCTCGAAGCAAATCTTAATCTAAATTAATGTCTGGAACTAGAAGTAGCTCAAATGATGATCTTTGCAAACGTGGGGTAGATAAATTGGTCAGATCTAAATAATATCACTATAAGTCAAACAACCAAGAATTTTTTTTAACTTTATATACATTAAGATGGTGCCTGTAACTACGTTACCGAAAAAATCATAGGAAATATAAATTATGTTAGAGTGGGTTTTAATTTGATACCCTCAAAAGAGTTTGTAGGAAAAGCTATATTGTATTAATCAATTGATGAATGTATGATTTTCGCTGATAAAGGAAAAAATAAACTATTATTAATTGAAGGTAATTATTTGCTTTGGTTTCAATTACTAAAAATTGCTTCTAAATATATAGTTTTAAAACAATATTTAACCAAAGAAGATAATAATCCGGTTAAACATTCAGTAATTTTTTTCAGTAAAAATATATTTTTCAAACAAAATGAATAACATTTGAGATTTGGAGGTTTTCATTTTTGCTAGATGATGAATATCAACATGCAAGACTTGTACTTAGTTAAATGTTACAGGAACATAAACTGTTATACAACTGTCAGATATGTCTAAATATAGTGACAGTTTGCTCATCCTTTTGCCATATACATTTGTTTTCATTTTTTTGATTTCTGTTGTTGTGCTACATTGTTTTACTGAACATGAATGTATGATTCTTACTAGTAAAGGAAAAGATAAACTGGTATTAATTGAAGATAATTATTTATTCTGATTTCAATTATCAAAAATCTGTACCTACATATATAGTTATAAAACAGTACTTATCTAAAAAAGACAATAATACTATAAAAAATTATTAGATATATAATAAAATATTAAGAAATAAGAAAATATATAACCTATACTATTGGTAGATTAAGATAAACAGTTGTAGAATATAAGATAACAGTATAATGTAAAGATCCTATTAATATAAAATAGTTACTAATTTTTAGTAGTATCTATTTTTTATATATAAAATAAATAGTTAAAGGTTATCAAATTCATTTGATTTGTTTATTTAATAATGACTATGTGCTATGTATATTGAGAAATAAGTAAACCTTCTTGACTTTTTTATTTTGTTCAATGAATTGAATGGATATTTATTGAAATTTAAACATTCATGTATAAAAGAGATATCTAAATACTATAGATTCAGGTTCATGTAGAATAAGAGGATATAGACAAAAAATGATATTAAATTGCAATTGATAAATATTAAATGAATCTATCCTCTAAGCATTAAAAGTTATAAATTATTATTTTCAAGTAGTTTTTGCTAAAATAAATAAAAGTTAAAAAAAAACTCTTCAAATATCAAAAACAACGTAGTTTTGGTATAAAGTGTACAAAAAAATTAATTCAATTGAGAATGACAAGAGTCAACCAATTGATCCAATTAATTATCCTATTTTTTTATATATATTATAGATATGAACAACCTCTTATGCCTTAAAATAAGTTAAATATGGTCAAGTCTAAATAATATCACCATACCTCATACAAGCAAGGATTTTTTTAACTTTATAGATGTATATAGACAACCTCTTATGGCTGTAAAGGAGTTTCGGGTGTGGTCTTATTCCCTGTGTTTTAGTTTTTAATTGATACAGGGACTATTTTTGTTTCTTTTTGTAGGGTTGGATTTTTTGTACATGTTGTGAAGCTCTTGGTCGAAATTGATGAATAGGTGGTAAATCAAAGGATATTGGGGACCTATGCTTTCAATGGGAGCATATTAACCAATATCCTCTTGACCCACCCCGCCTGATGATTTTTCGATGTAAGTTTCAAGGGGAAATTCAATTCCCCTATGGAAATAAAAATGATCGTGCTTTTCCAAAAATAAAAATAAAGTTAAATAATAAAAATGTAATAAAAGTATTTAGCATGAACTACTCATTGAACAATATCTTTCAGTCCTTGAAATTATGCAGTGGGGAAGACTTTGTTCAAGAAAAGGGAAATAGTATGAAGAACGAAGGACTAGATTAGCCCCTTTCGTTTCTCAGTAAATGACTTCAAAAATTGATCCTCTTTTGTGATAGGTGTTTTTTAATTAATTGAAAGGTGCAAGTATTGAATTGTGCACTATAAAAATTGTCATTTAATATGTTTTTGAGAATTAAATACTAAATAAAGTTTTTATACATTGAATTGTTTGTATAAAGAAGTATATAAATGATTTCAAATAGTACAATTTGCAGGTGATAGGACTTAAAAAGAAAAGTCAAGAAACTTCAAGATAGGAGTGATACAGTACATAACACGACATAACAAAAATTAGAATGTATTTAATGGATTGAAACTATTCAACTGACTTAGCAAGTATTTATGTACTTAAATAAACGCCATAAGTACTTCTTATGATTAGGAAATAATTACATCTCCTATCCCTCTATGAATGCAAACTAACGATTTTCAAAAAAAAAAAAAACAAATAAACACTATAAGGACAGCATGAAATATGGAGTGAGTAATGTGTTGAAATTAAGTATATGATATTTTAGAAAAAACATATATATATATATATATATATTATTTCGTTAAAAAGTAAGATCTAATGTACATCATCACGAGTTTCGTGGTTTTACTCTTGGGGATGAGGCCTTTTGTCCGAGAATGAAACGAAAAAACTGACTCATTCTTGCGTCAGTATGCATTACCCCACCCCACCTATATGCGGAACAGAAAGAAATCGTCCAAACAAAAGCACTTTGAAAATGACATTACTATTTGTAACAGTAAAGCAACAACAAAAGGAGAAAGGGGGAAATTAAAGTGGAAGAGGGGAGACAAAAAGGGGAAAGAGAAGACAAGTGTATCAGTCATTGGAAAAGGGTAAGGTCGATGCACTGACATTTTTTTTTTTTTGGAAGATGATAGCAGGAGAGAAAGTTTTAATTTGTTTAAGCAACACAAGTGATTTCCATGTAAATTGTGAGGAGATATTAGGAGTTGGTGATGAGAGGAAGATAAAGATCCAAAGGCCCAAATACAGAATTGAAGGAAGAGAGAGGTGAGGTAAGGTAAGGTACGTACTCAAGAAAATGGAAACCCTACAGGCCAAGAATTGCGTTTTAGATAAAGGATCCGTAGCATTTGCATTCAAGTACGAATGAACGAATCAGAAAACGGTTTTCTTACAGTCTTTGAGAATAGACGAAGATCAGATCTTTAGGCGTCGTACGAAAGAAGAAAAGTGGGCAGAGACCTTAACCACTGAACTCCATGACTATCAAAATCGGAGTAGAAAAAAGAAATTATGTATCATAAGGATTAAAGCAAAGACCATTCAAAATGCAAAGGACAAGAAAAGCGTGTCATGAAACCATCGGCTGTCATCTCCAAACAGCTAGCAAATCTGCACAAAGTGCTGCTCACAGTGATTCCCTCGAGCCTAGAAAGCAAAGAAACCCTATCTCTCTTATCTCTCTCTCGTTAGGTTTTGGCGAGGGGCTCTTCCGCCTGTAGTGGAAACAATTCAAATGAATGGTAAGCCCTTTCTCTCTCCCCCCCTTTTTTTTTTCTTTAGTTTTGATAACTAAAGCAAGCTGATGATGATGTACGTATTTTAATAGAACATTAGTAGCAAGAGATTTTGGGTTTGATCATCAGTCATGGTTTGCATAAACAAATGCAAAATATTTGCAAACAAAGCTGGAAAAACAAAAAGAGATAGAAAGAATCTTACGTGCTGCTGCCAAATTCAGAGAGCTTGCCCCGGCTAGAGAAGATAATAAGGGCAACCTCAGCATCACACAGCACCGAGAGCTCATAGGCTTTCTTCAGCATACCATTTCTTCTCTTGGAGAATGTTACCTGGCGATTGATTTTGTTCTCTATTCTCTCCAACACCACCTTTCCTCTCCCCATTTTGTGGGAAATAAACCTAGCAAAGAAAGCCCAAATAAATTAACAATAAAATAGTAGTTAAAAGAAGTATATCTTCTTTCTTCCCTTGCTTCTCTTCCTCCTGGGTTACTCTTATTTGATGAGGCAAGGATATTGGCTCAAAGACTGTATACGTCTCTCAAGAAAAATATATACTCCTGTCTATACGTCTATTCTTGAACGCATATTTTGAGACCTAATTTTCTTAAGTGGAGGGCTTAAGTAATTTCTACTTTCTGCGAGATTGTATGACTATTGAATTGACCCTAAGAATCCCAGAGTAAAGCAGATAAGTATCTGGGCATTTTTGTCTTTCTCCTCTTTTCAGACCATAAAAAACAAACAAAATACATCGTTCCTTCTGTATAAAACATACCAGTGCTGTATTGTATTTAGAATATTAGTAAAATGTTACCTTAAAATTTCCTATCTCATCTTCATACTCTTATCAATTATCAAGGGCATTCCTCAGTAACATATGTGTGTTTATATATATATTACATTAAATTTTGCTAGTATTAATCTGTTGGTCGTAATTTACTGCATTTTTAGAAAAAGATATATCAACTCGGGAAAACCAAACTCTTTCTGCACATTGTTGGGAGTTTTTTACCGTCACTTTTAAATAGAATATAGTAACTTCTTTTAAATGGTATATAAATATTATATGATTTTTTCATTTTTACAGGGATTTCAACAGCGATGGAGAGGTAGAGAATTGGTGGCTTACTGGCTCTGTCCCAATGCACGTCTCTATTACTGTGGCTTCCTCTGTCGGTTGGGGCCACTTTTATCACCCTCTCTTGGCGACATGACATGCTACGTGTCGAACGATGTACGTAAGATACATGATTAAATGTCCTTTTTGTTCTGAAAGCTTGGGTCAGTAATGAGTTGTCGCTTTTGGAAAGTTTAAGTTTTCTTCCCGTACTTCCAAGGCTTTGATCATTTTGCTACGTTTCGACATGTTATTGGATGTCAATTAACAACACTGTGAAGAAATATTCACCCACCAATTAAAAGGTGATATGTCCTCCGAGTTCTTGTGTGCTCGAGCACACCCGATTATAACAGCCATGGACAGAAGGACCGGTCTCTAATGAGCTAGATGGTCCCCTGTTCTTCATTTATCAAGCCTGCGCAATAGCCTATTGTTGACTTCACCCCCTGCCGCGCCTCCGACACCCGGCCTCGTCTTTTTTCAGAAAACAAAATCATTTGTTACAAGTATAAATATTATTCTCCAAGGGAACGATACGTGTGCTTGGTTGATTTAGTACTTGTAGCAATAACACCTTCATCGTTAACAAATGAACATTTGAATTTCAATCCAATTTCCAGTTCCAATTCATAAACATTAATTTCTTTTGATATAACCTCATTATTGTGCCGATGATGTCCTTGTTTTGGTGATAAGACAATAGACTTACAGGGGTACTACGTTTATAGGCAGCCCTTCCTTGTTCATATAAGTTTTGTCCCACTTTAAGTTAATTAAAAACTTGTTTGATTTGTTTTTTTTTAATTTAAAAAGTTATTATAAATGAAAAATAATAGATTTTAAAATTATGTTAAATTTATTTGATAAATTTATTTTTATAAATTTTATATAAATAAGTTATTTAATAAAATAATTTATATTAATTTAATTTTGATTAAAATTACCATAAAAGATATTTAATAAATAAAACTTACATTTTTTTAAAAAAAAACTATTGTCTAAAGCTTTTCTTGAAATATCTTTTTTAAATTTTTGTTTTTTTTAAATTACTTTTTTTAAAAAATTTTCAAAATCTCTATTTAGTCCAACTTCTACTATTAAGCGATGAATAAAATAAAATAAAAAGTAAACCACGTAGGTACTAAATCTACACTTTAACCGTATGTCAACACCATTTTCTAGCATCGGATCACAACAAGTCAAGCCAACTTATGTTTAAGCACGTTTACAATACTAATTCTACCTCTTAATTCATAAATATTTAAGTGCTATCTCAATTCATATCATCTTTTCTTCTTTTATTTGTGGGGAATGAAAATTAAAAAAAAGGAGAAAACACTAAAAAGTATTTGTGTATTACTATTTGAATTTTTATTGATAAAAAAGTTCAAATTTTATTGAAAATGATAATATTTAACAAAAATTATCCATGAAAAATATTGACAATAAATTTGAATATGGTAATATGTTAATGTATTTGCAACATCAAATATTATGTCATATAATGAAAAGTTATATTAGCTAAAAGGTTATGCTAGCTCAAAGGTTATAAAGTGTACAAATTTGTTTCAATGAACAAATTCTGTTAAAACTACTCCAATTTCTTAATCAACATTTTGAACACACAAATATATACACTTTATATTATTCCCAATGAGAGAAAATCTTGATGGATTGAAATACTGTGTTACAAGAAAAAAACTCTCATATAAAATAAATTATTATACTATAACTTTAATGAAATATTATAGTCTAATTAGATAATACTATTATAGTATAACTCTAACTAGATATTATAGTTTAATTAAATAATAGTATTATATAAAAATTTTAATTAAATATTTTAATATGCATATATCTAAGTTATATTTTGTTGAAAGAAAAACACAAGCTTTTGGGGTAAAACGTGATCTAATTTTTAAATGTTATAGGACGTTAGACTTGGTATACTTGACCATCAAATTGACTTTTGAAAATTGTCGGCCCTCTCAATGGAACTGTTTCTGTCGAGAAGCCAAAAAGAACTAGGGAAGCCGGGGTGGGCTGCTTGCTAGTAATTTTCTCCATGCCATAGCATTACTAAACACATGGAATGGAAGAGAGTTAAGAGATGGCCACCTGAATAAACATTTTACATCTGTCGCTTTCTTTAACGCTCTTAATTAAAATGTATTCTTTACTTATTTATGCGCCACCGGCCGACGCGATTGCGCCTTTTCTCCACTGTTTCATTTACTTGCTATTGTCTCAAAATGTTACGGAATTTTGAATTTTAGAATATGGCAATAAGAATTTAAGGGAAAAATAAAGTAACATCACTGCAGGATTTTGAGTTCTGCCGAAGAGAAAAACAAAGAAAGAAAAAAGAGGTTTAAGTTTCAATCACGCTATCCTAATGTTCTAGTGAGGGCTAACTTGCAGGTGGTTGTTTCTTTCTGACAGTGAACAAGTCAAGGCTCTCTTCGGCTTTTGCCATTTGCCACTCTGGGAGTGGCGATGCTTACTCTAACCCTTCTTCTGCTTCGTCAGTTAATGCGCAGGGCAGGGGCCCTGGTTTTTGCTTCTTTTCCCCTCTGAATGGTAACAAGGAAAATTCCTTCTGCTACTTGTAGGTGTAATGTTTTTCCACTCTCGTATTTATTATAGTTTGTAACTGGTGTGGTCACACCCTGAGAATGAGAAGCAGGCACATATCATGCTTTAATTTCAGTTATTTTTTTTATCCAACCAAATTTAAAGAAAACCTCTTCGAATTGCTAGATTCTTTCCTTTTTTTTTTTTACCATCCCTGTGTCTTTAATTTTTGTATTTCCGATAATTTGGTTAAATTATTTAAGAAGAATCTGTTAAATCTGAAAATATCTGTTTTAATTTTTTGAAAAACAAAAATTAATTTTTAAAAAAACAACATCATTGGTCTATTCATCTTATTGTTACGCTACTGGAAACATGCACTGGTGTCTGGCTAAAAATTTGAAAAAAATAAAAGACTAATCAATCAAATAATTAAACTTATTTGAATTATAGGAAAGGATGACCAATTGGGCTATTGGAACAGTTAAACGCTGCATTTCTATCTTGCCATACATTGTGTATACAATAATAGGAGAAGTTTTAAGTTAAAATTATACTCCTTCCTGGTCATTGTTTTTCATGGAAAGACTAACTTAAGAGTATTTGACAGGAATTGTCCTTGTATTCGATTATTGGCTAAATTATGAAGCTGAATACGCAACCAAAGAAGTAAACTGTGTCTGACTCAAAAAACAAAAGAAGGGTTGATACTGTTCCCCTTAACCAAAAATGGCGTAACTGGCTCATTAAGGCCAATAGGCCAGCGCTAGCAAAGCGTTGGAAGCTGGAATCAGGATTGAGGTGCCTCCTAAAATTGCGCCATAAGAGCCGCATCAGTGTCGGTTCAGCGGCACAGCCGTAGGCTGTAGACCGAAATCGTAATTCAGCGGCACAGCCGTAGGCTGTAGACCGAAATCGTAATTCCCATATCCTCGTGCTATGCATTGCAAAAATAGCTGTTAAATCCAGAAATCAATACCGAAGAAGAAAGTAGTGGGAAGTTTGGGTCCAAAAGAAGATGGCATACACTTGGGCACTTAGTTCTAGTAAATTTTGATAGCCCATGATTCGGACCAATGGGCTGTCTGTTTTAGTTGGTTTGGGCCAGCCATGGACCTCTATTTAATGAGTTTTCATTGGCTCTTCTTGGAAAATATGCTGTTCAGTGTATTTTGTCTTGTACAAGGACAAGGAGAAGAGAAAGTGAGATTATGGTGGGAGAGTTTGAAGTGAGAAAACCCAAGGTAAGATCAAGGAATTGAATAATGGGGCCATTAGACATTTTAGACTAAATTGAAGGTTAAGGGAATACTAGCGTTGGATGTGTGGAGACTAGGAAGTTTTGTTATATAATTTTATTATTAAAATGGAAATTAGATTCGAGCAATACGGAATGAAGTTAATCATGATTAAAGAAATGAGAAGACAATTAACCGTTGCATGATTAATGAAAAAACCAAAGGGACGAAAATAAAAGAGAGTCAAGCTGGAAAGACATTAACAAATATGTTGCCACGTGTCACTCTCATAAAAGTATAACACCATAGAATAGAATCATTGAGGTTTGTACTTTTGTATGTAAAGTAGGACAAATATAGTCCTGGCGAGAATTTTGAGTGGCATGGGCTGTAGTAAGTTGGGTTCTAACATCCTTTCGTGGTTTATTCGCCTGGAAATAATATATGATATGAGGGGTCTGATGTATAAAAATCAGAACAAAAAATTTAAATTATTTAGATGAAAGGAAGGGAGACAGAGGCACAGGGTGGGAAAAGCAGTTCACATGGAATGGAACAAGATGATGACAGAGATAGATTTAGCTGTCAAGATAAGCGTTTTCCAACGTACATGTGGCACTCAATACTCACAGTTTTC